AGATGAGTGGACTTCAACTCCCAGAATTCTGGGAGTTGAAGTCCACTCATCTTAAGTTGCTAAAGTTGAGAGAGACTGGGCTAGCCAGCAAGAGCAAACACTTGCCTTTTAATAAGTTGGATGGGCTAAAAACAATAGGTCTCTTAAAAACCTAGGGAGAGCCAGTAGTTGAATCCTGTGGGGATAAAATGCAACATATCCAAGTCTCAACCCTCTCCTGTCAGGGAGAAGTAAGAAAGAAGACATCCTATCTAATTGGAGCAAACAATAGCTCTATCGTTACCTGAGCCGTGGAAAATAGGTAATCTGGTGGATGGGGAGGGAGAGAACTACTCTACAGAGGACTGAGAAATGGACATCTGAAAGGCAGATGGCTTTAGTGCATTTGGGAAGAAGGCTAGAAGATTTACAGGAGTCTTAATCTGTGGGTGGTGGAGTCCAGGAAGGTGAAACATCTGGCACCCCTTTGAAGAAAACCAGCAGAAAAAAAACTGAAATCATTCCTGAGCTGGACCTATTGCTGCTTTTTATGTGGGGTGAGTTGGCTTTCCACAGCTTATTCTAATAGAATTGTTGATGGGTGGGGACAGAAGTTTAGAATAATACTCTGTTTCTTCCACCCCATATCTCAGGGAGAAGCAGTTCTGAGCCTACCGTTTCAGTGCACCCACTTGCCCAGGGCTCCCTTCTCACCAGCAGTCAGCTTTGGGACACTCTGGGTCCTCACCTCATTTTCTTGTCTCCTTTCTCACTCCTTTGGCAATATTTAGATTATGTCACTGAACTAGGGTCCACATCCCCCTATGGAAAACAGCTGTTCTGAGTCAAAGACTCAGTGGCTTAGTTCTATACTGTCCACGTGGACATACAGGTAGCCAGTGACTCATGTGGATCTCTTTTTCTGTGGTCTCACTGAGCTTACAGAATGATGAAATGGCAACTAAACTATCTCCAGGATAACAGAGATCTGTCATTGACCTGCTTCTAATTTGTTTTTGGTTTCTTGAATTGCCTTATCTCAAAGCAACCCAGCGCCGCACAGGTCATTTCAACTGTCCATGCATGGTTTGTCCTTAGAAGCAGGAGGAATAGAAAGTTACATCATGGCTTATATGTTGGATACCCCTGGAGATATCCAACATATAAGCTACTGGAGGTAGAGACCAACAGAGCAGTTAGGGGGTTGGTATTTTGGGGAAATACATTTTGAATGCGTTTTTCTTCCTCTTCAGCTGAGGAAGCTGATTCTGGGAAGATTTGTAGATTCTTAATTGCAGAAGTTTGTTTTTCCATTAAGGTTGCCATGTTTCACTCCCTTTGGGATGTTCTACAGCAGATAACCTTCCTATATATTTGTGACTATAATCCTCATAATCCCCATGGGATTTGAAATCCAAAAAGAATCCAGATGGAGGGCATCAGTTCCCCTGCTCCCGATCCAGATTCTAGCACAAAGTCCATGCCTTCATCTAGAACAGGGATGGGCAACCTGTGGCCTCCCAGATGGTGATAAACTAGAATTCTCGGCTTCTTCCATCATGGCTCAAATTACCTGGCATTGCTGGGGGTTGTCCAGATTTGGCATTCCTACTCTATCAGCAAACCACCCCATGAGAAGGTTCAGCTTTAGCTATACTGCAAGTCCCTTTTATGATACATGTTGTGTCACTTCCACAGTCCCAGATGCTGTGAAGTCTTGACTCAAATGAACTTGTCATTTGAGGAATGCTCATGCATTCATTTTCCCAGAAGCAACCACCCCCACTTCTCTCTGCAAACTGCATCCAGCCTTCCTCAGTCCAGGCCCTCTATCATCCCTGGAGGACATGAGCTGGGGAAAACCTGAGAACCTGGAGGATATTATTTCAACTACAGTGATGCCCCATGCGGTGTGGCAGGTGACAGTGTGCTGTTTCCAAACTAAATGTGGTTTGCAAGAGCTGGGACTGGGGAGGAGGCCTCATGACACATTAGCTAACCTTGAGAAAATATGAGCAAGCAAACCGTCTTTGCAGTCTCAGGGCCTTGGTGGCTGACTGTTCCAACCAATTGCCAGGAGCAGTCGTATCCACACCGCCTCTGATGCCGTGCCTTCAGATGACTCATAAAATCCCTTTCACAATCCTGTGCAATACAAAGGAGCCTTTGCGCTCCACTCTCTTTCTTTTTCTGCATAATGCACACCAGGAGTGTAAGGCAGCCACTCAACCTGCATATCTTCACTCCTTTCCCAAACTGAGCAAAACTGACTGAAGCCGAGGTGGAACTGTAGTTTTAATGCAGGCTAGAACGGCTCTACTGACCTGGAGCAAAATCACCAGCATCTTCCGTCTTCTCCTTTCCTGAGCACAAGTCTCCTTTCCTGAGACTTCTCCTCCTGGCCCCAACCAAGCCCCTTCCAGAAATAGTGGACTACAATTCCCATTCATGTGCTAATGGCTGGGATGATGTAGTCTAACATTGCGGAGTTGGGGAAGATGGTTATAAAAGAGGAAACCACCTTCCCACCCACTGAGTGGTTTTGAATGACCAGTGTCATCGGCAAGCAGAGACAAGATTTGCACTTTTCCTCCACTGTTCCCCTCGAGCAGTTGGAATGAATTCCCCCCCAAAAAGTCCTATTAAAAAGAACTTGTTTGGGCTAAATTTGCTCTAGAACACACCATGGAAAAACCAGTTAAAAGTATTTTTGAGGAGAAGCAGCAACTGCAGAAAAGTTATGCATTTTTCTCACCCTTCTGATTCTCTTGTATGTCTCCTGACTTGACACTTGACACCTAGAAGGAAATTACAAACTGGGACCTTCCTATTTCCTCATTATTTTCTATCTTGATTATTCCCTCTGTATATAGTCAGATTTGTTTTTAATCTCTTTTATAGGATTATAGGAGTATTTACATGGGAAAACTATGACATCCTCGCTCTTTGCCAAATGCCCAGTACATAACACCTTCGATATGCGCCCTTTGGGAATTGTTACTTATATAAATAAAAAAGGAGTAACAATTCCAAAATGGCATGTATCAAAAGATATTTATTATAAATTTCTGGGATGTCCCAGGAACTAGCCAGTAGGTACTGTGACATTCACACCAAAACAGACACCAGATCTCCTGCAATACGGCTGATCACCATTGGTGGGATGGTAGGATTATTGGAATACAGTCCTGGTCATTTATTAGGAAAACTGTGAAAAAGCATTTGCCAGTCGTGGAAGTGCAAGAGGGGGAAACAATACATGTGACAAAGAAGAATCTTCCGTGTTTCCCCAAATGTGAGAGCTGAACTATACCTCTTCCTGGATCATAATGTTATTTCACACCACTCCAGGCGTTCTCTGTTGCCGTTTTGAGAGAGGACGATGCTGTTGATGTGGGTATGGGACAAATGGCTTTTTTAGGGGAACTGAATTTTCTCTGTTTTGGGGGGGATGCATGGAATACAGGTGTGTGGATGAGAGAGGTACATGAACTAATCTGTGTATGTTCCAAGCACTGTTTGTCATTAAATGCTATTGTTCTGGATCTGGTTATTTTTCCAGTGTGTTAAAATATATTGACATCTATATATTTAAATAAAAGGAAAAACTTCGGTGAGTAGCACACATTCCATTCTATCTAATTACAGCCAGAAGACTCAATAAATTGTGTGTGGCTGGTCCTCATGGCAACTGGATAAAGGTTTTGGCACACAGGCAGCTTAAACTGTCTTTAGAACAGTGTTTCTCAACCTTGACAACTTTAAGATCTGTGGACTTCAATTCCCAGAATTCCCCCAGCCACACTGCTTTAGAACATGTCTGAATGGGGGTTCCAGCAGCCAGGATCTTTGGTCACATCATTGGAGTTGAAATGTATAATCCTTAAGATCTGTGTTTGACATTGTTCCAGGAACTGAAGGAGAGGGAAGGTGAAACTGTAGGAGAGAGGTTTAATTTCTGAGTTCCTCTCGCAAAATGCCTCCTAGTTGTTTTCACTCTCACTTAGACTCAATTTCTTTTGAGGTCATCTGGGAAAAACAAATTATTTAAGAGAGCTGAGACGAGAGGTGAGGCATTTGCGGTACAGAATTAGCAGATCGGGGAAGCTTTGATTGCCTTCAGGTTCTCCCCTGGGAAACAAGAAGACGTGTTTAGATGTCTCAGGTTCTCCTTGAGGACAAAGAGCTATATGAGAATAATAGTGTCCTTTTCATATACTCCTGTGCTCAATTCTTCAGACCAGTCCCAGTTACGGATCTCAGCAGGGCTAAGAACACAGGCTAGAATCATACATCATGCTAAGTCAACATGTGGCCTGTTTGGTTTTGTTCTACCATGTTGTAAACTAGGGATTGTAGTTTATACATGAAGAATTATGGGGTAGTGGGCAGTTTGAATCCAGCTAAAAATGCTTTTCAAACCACAGTTAAAGACTATGGGCTAATAGAATCTGAGATCACAGTCACAGAATCTGCAATGTTGGTCCAACTAGTTCATATTGTCTACCCCACGTTCCCCAACATGGCGCCCTTCAGATTTCCTGGGAGTAAAGTGTTGATAACAGGTTCTAGAGACAGCGGTTGAGGTACCATCTGGCCCAATTTTAAAGGACTGATTTTAGCTTATCGCTGCAATGAAGCCGATTGTTGGAACCTTGCCTTTGGTGACCTATTCAAGCTATTGTTCAGGTCTATTTCTACCGCTTCTGTGACATTTAAAGAAACCCTTAAAATGCTTAAATGCCTATTTTGAGATGATTGAAGTGCCCAGAGCGACAGGCTTGCAACAGTGCAGTGGAGGGCTAAGCTGTTATCGCCACATTCCTCTGAGATGGGCGGATTAATCACTTCATGCTGGAATTTGCAAATACCAAGTTTTTTCAAGCGTCCGTCCGTTTGATCCTCCCCAAATCCGTCTTCCTGGGCTCAAATGTCTTTCAGATCTCCCCATTATAGTTTGATGGGCTTGCTTTTTTTTTTTTTTTTTTAATCAGGAAGAGCAAGTGGTTTCTCATTAGAAAATAAGTTTTATTTAAGATTACAAGCAACTGCTTCTCCAGGCAGATGAGGCAAGTCGGCTTCGAAGGGTGATTGATTCCTGCCGTGCTGGATTTGAAACTGGTGGGAGAAAAAGAATAATAAGGAAAATAAAGGAAGAGATCGGGACAGGAGGAGTGTATGGAGGAACTGGAGACTGTTGAGTTTGTGAGTGGTGGTAGAACTGGTCAGGGGCATCTGTGTGTGCGTTGTGTGTCAAAAGGACAAAATGGCAGCTGGGACTGCGTGATCATGCCCATAAAAGGGGTGGGGCTTTAAGTCTCCATCTTGACTTTTTTGACAATTCCCCCCTACCCCTAGAATGGCCCCCAAGCAGCAGACTAGGAGTCCAAGGTCAAGTGTTCATTTTCTCTCTGTCTTTTATGCTCACTACCCTCCTTTCCATCAGCACCTTGGCAGAGTGTTGGATGGACTGTGGATAGGTTCAAATTCACAGTTTATAGTCAGAAGGTTGGTGGTTTACAGATTGCTATGAAGAAGCCACAGTTAACAAAAATGCCAGTGCAGACATGAACAGGCACAAAGCTGGCTAGATTGGGGGGGAAAAGGGCCTGGAGGTAAGCATTCACATGTGCAGAAGAGAAGGTGTAAAGATAAAAGAGTCGTTCTTTTAACTCTGGTTAAGATCTTAGCACCAGATCTTACTTTTGTCCCTGTGCTTGCTGTATGCTTCCAGTTTTGAGAAATCATAATTTAGCTAATGCCCTGAAGGCTTCAATTATCAATACTGTAATTGAATTTTTCATGCAAGGGAACTGCTGAATTGGCACATTCGTGCGTTAGACCAGTCCCAAGACCTGTATGAACACAGTGGCTGTCTATGTGGAGTCAACATAACAATAAATCAGAAAACCGCTTCTCCCAAATTCATCTGGTGTTTTAAGGAAGGCACCTGATTGACTGTGTCATGTGGATTGTTAATGACTGCCATGGTAGCTCACTTTAAACTAGAAGTTATAACTTAAACCTAAGGTTCAGCATCTGGATAAAGGGAATCCAAGATGGGGCTTGTATCGGGGTCGTATGACACACACAACCATTTTAAGTATGCTGGGTGAACGTGGCCAATACGAGAAGACAGTTGCTATTATTAAAGTGTTCTAGCTCAGAATGAGTAGAGATGGAATCTGAGATGGGGCCCGATCTCCTAACGCTTTGTGGCCATCACCAAACCAGCTGTAGGGGCACAGCGGTATGATCACTCTTGCAGGACATGCTAGCTGTGGCTGTGGTGCCGGATGACCGTTCAAACCATGGTCAGTTATGGCCAACATGTCATCCTTCAGGGCTGTAGATCGGCTAACTGCTGGCCAGCTGACACTTCCTTTGAAAAAGCATTTTAGGGGGGAAAATCGTTTTGGAAACACTAAAGGGTCTGAATGAAGTTTAAGCCACTGTGAATGGGATGGGAAGAAAATGGGCCTTCCTTCTTTCACTACTTGGGCCACATTTCAATCCTTTCCCCAGGGAACTGCTCCTTTCTCCTAGTTTTATTTCTACAATCTGGAGGAAATACGAGGCTTATGTTATGCAAACTATGATTGAAGTAAGGAAATCCATTAGAAATCATGGCTAGCTTTACTATGCTGGGGCTGTGTCATGCAAACTAGGTCTATGTGTATAAAGCAGTGTTTCCCAACCTTGGCCACTTTAAGATGTGTGGATTTCAACTCCCAGAATTCCCCAGCCAGCATTGCTGGGAGTTGAAGTTCACACATCTTAAAGTGGCCAAGGTTGAGAAACACTGGTATAAAGGATTATAGAAACCAGGTTCAGGGTTATGTACCTTCTGCAAACACACCAAAAAGTACAAAAATATGATAAAGGAATTCATAGTCTGTATGCAGAAACGCCTTTAGAAATACATTCACTTATATAATATACAAATGTACACAGATTTTGCATATTTTGCTTAATTCCTGCTGAAAAAAAGAACACGAGCTAATCGCATTCCTCAGCTAGTTTGAGAGCTCCCCAATCTCTGCGGTGTATGGTCAGGCCTAGTTTTGCCATCTTAAGGACTAGAAGCCTGCTTTTAAAACCAACCAGGTTACAAGCATTTCCAAATTTCTAGGCTTAAGCAGCCTGCCGATCAACACCAAGGAGATTCACCTTGCCTGGGCCTCCCCTGCTCATTGCATCGACAGCAGCTTTTCTCAATGCTTCAAGGAATTCGCATGGTTGCTAGAGAACAGCTTTTCTCACTGCAGAACTGTCGAGAGGGGGCTTCATTTTCATGTGTTGTCATTTTTATCAATCGTTTTTCATTTTTATCCAGGGCTATAGGCTTCAAAAGCTGGGAATGGCCGGAGCCAGCCATGCATTTCCCTATTTCTCTTTCTTTGTCTGTGACTCTCATCAATCTTTCTCACTCAGGCAATACTTTTCTGAGTACAGTTCGCCGTGCTTCTTCCTCTCCCAGCGGCACAAGACGTATTGCTGAAGCACTGGGCTCCGGGGGTACAGCGTGACTGCCTTGCCCTGGAGAGTCTTCCAGTGTGCGCAAAGACTAATGAGAGATGAGTTGTACATGGAAACATCACGCCGAACAGAGGGCTTGCTTCACTCCCATCTCTCTGTATCTTTCTCTTTGTGCCAGCGCATTTCTCTGTCTCGCCACCTTTTATCATTCTCCCTGTCCCTCCAATTTGCTTTCTGTCCCAACCACCTTCTTTCTCTCTCTGTCACTCCATCTCTCTATCTCTTCCCCTACCCCCTTCTGCTGGAATAATGTTTAAAAACTTTTTTAAATGAACAAAATACAACAAACCAAGAAAAAAGGAAATAAACAAATAGAAGAAGAAACAGACAAACAAAAACTTCAAGCTGCATGAAATCAGGCTGACAGCTGAAGGGTCCTCATTCTAAATTTACAAGATAAAGTCACAATTTATCAAGACACAGTGTCCTATGAGAAGGGGTTTTTAGTGTGGTATGGGGTGATTTATCTTACCCAAGAGTTAGAGGTCAGGTTTCTTGGAATTCACAAGCATCTAAGAGAAAGGACAGAAATAAAGAGTTACTATTGCACAAAAGCGTCCCTTCCCTTCCCTTCCCTTCGCCATGTTAGTTGTGATTCTGGCCTTTGGAATCCAGAAGTGCATTCTGAGTAATGCAGTTAGATTGTCACAAGAGATTAAAACTGTCCATAGTATGCAAAGCTTTTGCATATCCAGTTACACACAAGGAGCTGTATTAATTTCTACCTCTCCAACAAATCATAACTGGGCCTGGGGTTTAACTGTCGGGGCCAAAGGATGGAATTCAGGGTGGTCCTAAACAGTCTGCCTAGAAAGGGATGAAAACATCATAGCAGAGTCTGATGCAGAGAATATCTTCAATGTAAAAATGAACGACTGCCCTTGCTGGATTGGACGAGATCAAAAATAATGCCACAATCAACGTTTTCAATACAGTATGAGACTCCCTGTGGTTTTGGATGCAACAGTGAGGAGGAGGGGTTATTGTTTTCAGAGGTGGTCAAAGCCACCGTCAGCACCTGGGTCCCTCTAAGCATCATGACAAGGCCAACAACAGATGTGACTCTTAGAACAAGCATTTCCTTCCTGCCTACCCTTTGCACATAATGGCTGGATCTACTGTTTAAATTCCCCATAAAAGGCATCCAATGTAGCATCATTTGGATTATTGTGGGACCTCAAAATGGTGCTCTCCCAAGTCCCCACTGCTATTAGGGAAGACCTCCGGGGCTCCCTTAGTACTGAAGCCTGCAAATCTTGAAGGCAGTGCGTGAAGAGGTCCTAGAAGACTAATTAGGCAGAGGTAGAAAAGGACAATCCAGCCATCCTTGTTGGAGAAGGAAAGTGCTCTGGAAGGTTGAACTGTTGCCTTCCAGCATAAGCAAGTATTTCTGGTGGGACAGTGGCTACATCTGGAATTTTGAAATGGCACTCTTGCAAAATGGCTGCTTTGGTGGGCAAAAGCAGACATTTACCAAAAGGTTGTTCTCTACTGCCTCCTCTAACACTCCAAGATGCTTCCTTAGATCCCATCTTACTTTTCTCTCATTTCCTGGACATGGGGCGCTCTTCCACATGAAAAATTAGGCTTCAGCTCTCTCCCCGTTTTTTAATTTTTTATGACATCCATGGGATCTGTGTGAGTCCTACAGCTGCTATTGTAAATAAAGATGATGCTAGAGATTTGGTGCTGGGCCCTGCCGTAGGCCTAGCTTCCTGAGTTGAGCATTTATTTTCATTAAATCAAAGTCAAGTCAGTGGGGCAAGGAACCTTCTGGGAGGCAAAAGAATTGTCTTACAGGGTTGCCCTCAGCCCTGATACAATGCTAGTGCCCACAATGGACAAGCTGCTAGACCAGAGAGAGGCTCTACCTTGAGTTCTGGGTATAAGGAGGAATTCATTCATGTCAAGGCAGGAAGCTTTGTTCCAGAAATCAGCAAGGCAGCCTTCTGCAGGATGAAGGATCCGGGCTAGGGAGAGAAGGAAAATGCAGGTCAGGACCAAGAAGGAATTTGGATCTCAAACCCTCCACCTTCTTCAACCTATGGGTTGGAGAACCCTATTGCCTCAGCAAGGGTGGGAGTTGCAGTGAACGTCTCTGGTTGGAGACATGCCATGAGATTGGAGATGGCTGCACTGCCTTAACTCTTAAAAAAAAAAGATTACTGAATTTAGGGATCAAAGCAAAAGACTTACAGTAGAAAAGGATCCTTTGATAATCTTGATCTGTTTCCTGGACAATGATGGTATTGGGACACTTGGCGGAGAACAATTCTGTCCTCATATGAGGCCGACCTGTTGCAGTGAATCCAGAGAAAAAACAAAGCCAGAACATTGTCATGCATATTTAGGAGAATAATAGCTGAATAACAAAGAGCTTGACGTGCATTCCTTCAGAAGGTGGGTGAGAGAATTGCTTCTCTTAATGTTTTTCCCATATAAGAACACATCCCTGCACATCGAATGCTAGTCTATCAGGGTGCACTCTTATTTTAATCTGTGAGGTTTACATATAAACAGAATCAACTACCAGAGGAAAATCAATAAATAAATGCAGAGATAAATCTGTATTAATATCTAGAAGCGCAACTCCAGTTCCTTGTTTAATCAAGCTGACAGAGAAACAGAATAATACATAGATTTGACACGCACAACATGATCTCCTTGGAAAAACTAAGATATTTTTACATTAAAAATCTGCAATAGGTATGAGCAAGTATAAAATAAGTTGTGTTGATCTTTTACTGTTCCAGAAAAAATATCAACGATGTAAAAATATGTATGAAATGATACTGCTTTGCCTATTAAATTGTTGTCTTTCTATTACAGATCCAACGCTTGATGCAGGAGTGATTATTCAGCCATATATATTGGACTAGCAAATGTAGCTGAGTACCCCATTTTCATATTCTTGATTGGTTCCCCAGATTAAGGAAATGCATCAAAATGAATCTGCAGCTTTGTTATCCTTAAATTAGGCTTGTTTAACAACTGAAGGTATGTATGGTATAGGATCTGGTTTTTCCAGATGCTGGAAGAGATTCAGCCCTGGGCAAGATTCTGTATGTGCAATTGTGCAGGAATACAAATTAAAAATAAATAAATTGTATGGTTATTCACAGCTGTGAAAAATGTAGGTGCACAATAGCTAATAATGCAAAAAGCCTACAGATTTCATACCTTCACGTTCTTGCCAAATCCTTTGGTGCCAACAGAGATTAAAAAGGTTAAGCTGGAAAGTGGACTTTTTATTGAGCGAATGAGGAAGATATCAAAGTACTAGAATGAAATGCGATCATAGATGAGCCCTCCAGTTCCCACACAGGCCAGTGAGAAATGGATAAATTCTCTTACTGATTTCAGTTGGACATTCGCATGACTATCTTTGCCTGAACCCAACCCATGAATTCCTGCCTATCTGCCCTGCCACGCAGTTATTCCAGGCATTTTATGCTTCACAATCTTAATTGGGCTATATTGCTTTTAAGATCAGCTTTGAAGATAAGGTTATCAGCGAAGTGGCAGGAAAAAAAATGGTGCCTTACCTTCGGTAGCCAAATCAGCACTTTCTTCTTGAAGCAAATAATTCCACGATTTAGGAACACATTGACCTGTTTTCCTAGGAAGAAAAGAGGCAGGAAAAAAATAGGGCTGAGCCACAGATGGGTAGAAGGACAGACAAGTTTCAAATGTTGATGCCGAGAATCACAGCGAACCTGAGAAGGCTGGGGGGGGGGGGGG